GCGCCTCGGGTAAAGTTTTGCGCGGCGTGGTTCGAGGGCAGCAGCGGGAAATTCTGGTAGCTCGCCAAAAAACTTCGCGCCAGGATCTTGTACGACCAGTGCGAGAGGTGCTGCAGCCGGCCGTTCTCCGTATACATGCGCTCCGCATCAGCAACAAGAAACTCCATCGCGGCAGCGCGCTCTCTGCAACTGAAACTACGCTTGCTACTAGAAAATGAAAAAAAAAAAAACGGCTCTGCAAAGCGTTTGAATGTTGATGTTATTGTTTTTTATTCCCCCTTTAAGTGAGATCATCCAAACCCATTAGAGACGCACAGACAGACAGAAAAGAAAAGAAAAAAAAAGCGATAAACATGCATGACAGGTAAACTTCAGACCTCCTTTTTATCCTTGAACTTTCTTCCTCAACTCTCCTCTCCTCGCGTGTGCAGAACGGGGGGCCAGGGTGACGCAATGCCGGGCAATCTCGTTTACATACGCAATAGCACAGAGGCACACACACACACACACACACACAGTATACATACACTGCCCACTGGCAGAAGGTGAAAAACAGAAACAAAAATAAAAGACGAAGAAGCGGAAGCAACGGCAAACACGGCAGCATAAATCATCCCAGCAAGACACCTACTTCTGCTTCCCTGAGGGGGGCACACCATAAAAGAGAAACGCCGAGGCAAGTGAATCCGCGCCCTCACCTGTGCCACCGCGAACGGCATCAAAAAGACCTTTACCGCCACCAAGAATAGCAGGCAATGAGCGGCGGCAGACGAGATCGCATTCCTCTGGAGAAAGTGGGAGAAAGACATTACTACAAAAGTACTGCACACCACGCGACAGAAAAAGGAGGGATACAATGGATTGCCGCTCGTAAAAGAGGTTTAATGTCGTCTTGATCATACGTCCCTTCTGTTCACGGCGCAGGGAACTATCATTGGTGCCCTCCGCTACAAGGGCCGCAATCATGTGGTCCAAATTAAGCTCCACCAGGGTCCGTGGGTTCAAAAGGTCTGTAAAACTACCGCAGACGTCGACAAGAAGCGTGTTGTGTCTGGCTGCGGTTAACGCTTGACGCACACACAATGGCGAAGGGTTACACAACGCACCGTTGGGATCCCTTTTCGAGCAAATAATTTCGCTTGTGGCTGCCTTTGGACGCGTCTCTGGGCCAAACAGAGCCTGCAGCGACGTCTCATGCTCCCCAAGTGGGTCCACGATGAAGAGGCTTCCGCTGGAGGATGGCTTCCCGCTACGAATCAACAGTTTATGCCGAATATGAGCAACTGACAGCTCACGCTGAATCGACAAGAATTGTGTGAACACTGGCAGTCGCTCCAGCGGCAGCAACTGAAGAATGGGGTCCAGGCAGAGAAAGATATGGCACTTAGGTGCGAGCCAGCCAATGATGCCGTTAAAATCCGCCCACAAAGGAGCCGCCAGATCCTGAAGTCGATACAAAAGAGACTGTAAAAGAAAAGAACTGTTTCCCTCCAGAGAAGTTTTCCTCGTAGCATTCTGCTTGATGATTTCATCTTTTTTAAGCTGCTTGAGGCTCTCAAGCTCGTCGCCGCACTCTAGCAGGGAGTGGACATCCAGCTGCACTCTGCGACTATACACCTCACCATCTGGACAGCGCAGGGCCACTAGAAAGTATGGGGTGCACTCCTCCCGCACCACGCTAAGGGCACAAAAATCTAAAGCAAGTGGTTTCGGTTTATTTGGCTCTACAGGCCACTCAAGCGCACGATCAAAGTAGCTAAGCATGCTGGAGGTACTCATCAAAACGCCACGTACAGTGTCAAAGACAGGTGTGTTAAGGAGAAAAGGCGTATTCAACTTCATATTTTCTATAAATCGAATCAAATTACTTTCAGGTGAACTTTGAAGCAGCGCCGACTGAATATCCAGCAGGAAGCCACACATTTTTGCCGCCTGAGAGCATTCAATGGCGGTCCCAGCGGCACAAAGGCTGCCAGAGAGGGTCAGATCATGCGCCATACCAATGTAGCATTTTGCCAACTCCTTGTATTCCAATAAACGTAAAGCATGTTTGGCACCAAGTTGAAGCATGGAGGGCAAGTTGCTGTTTTCATCCACCCAGAGATTCACAGGTTTGTCCTCCAGTACTTGTGGCTCCGTGGCAGTTGGCCTCCTCGACCTTCCACGCAGCGGTAACATTGTCTTCCGACCTGATTTACCGCCAGTGAGCTCTTCCATCACCGGGATTGGAAAACGCCATTTCTCTGTTAATGTGTCGTTCCCACGGGAACACGCCCACGCTTCCACCTCGGCGCGCGTCGTCACTGTTGATATTGCAGACCGCTTAGCGTCCTCTGCTTGGCAAAGTGCCTTCAGCCGTCTATGCAGCTCGGCTAGAGAGGCACAGATAACAGCCTCCATTTGCACTGGCGTACACACTCCATCGGCGTCTACGACGCGAAGCAGCATGGCCTCAGCCTCCATACTACTTGCCCCCTCCACATGCGCCTGTGAGATGCCAAAGTGATTTAGCGCACACACCACATCTGTGTGTGGGTTAACGTCTTCGTCCAAGGCTCCCTCTGATGTTTCCTGGCCGCACTCAGGAGCCATACTATTTCTACGCTTCTCGTATGCCGCGGGGTCTCGCATGTACTGAAGAACAGAGGCATCCAACTCCTTCGGTCCCCCTGTCGGTATGCCAAGCTGCTCCATCGACAGTTGATCGTAGTGCAGGAGTAAAAAGTCTTTCAACATCTCTCGCTCCAGGCAATTTTGAGCCCGCATAAACAACACCTCGTCATAGGCCTTCACAATGCTGGGATGGGTAGCAAATTCTTTTGTGTACAAGGAAAGAGGTGTCACCACATTCATCTCACTGCGAATCAACTCGGTCACCTGAAAAGCCTCACAGTACTCCGCGTACAAGAGCATCAGTAGTTCTTTCCCCTTTTCCACGTCCATGCTTGAGAGCACCTCCTCCACCGAAGGATGCAAACTCCGCCGGACACGCAGCGCAACAGATCGACTCTTCCAATCCTCCATTCTCTGCAGCTGCTCGGCCATCTCTGCGAGATAACTTCTGGCAGCCTCCTCGCTCTCCCCTGGCCAACAAAAGCGATGACAAGGAAGATGCAGAAGCGCCACGAGCTGCTGGGCAAACCCATGCAGTGCTCTTCTGTTACAATCTTTTAATACATCCGCTGCGATCTCTCCAGCAAGGCCGTCAGCAGCAATCTTCTTCACACGGAGCGAGAGAGCTTGCGGCAGCTCCCTCGCAAGACTGATGGCCTCGTTCACCTGCCCGCAACTAAGTAAGGCTTCAAACCGCAGCAAGTTCAGTGTTGTCCATAATCGAAACGTGATACCGCTAAACTCCTCCTCAAGCTCACGCAGACGCGTGACCACAGAAACCCCCTCACCCCGTAATATGCGGGCACGCGCCTCCAACAGGTGACAACGCACCACAGCATCGATATTGCCCACATGCATTGCACAAGGCAGCACCCTTCCGCTCCACTGTAACGCCTCCTGCACCCGTCCAAGAAGAAAGAGATCCTCCGCCTCGCTCAAGACACAATAGCAGGCGCTGGCTCTAAAACTCGTAAAGCACACTATTCCATTCGATCGGGGTAACGAGGTTGGTGGAGCATCTGCTGAAAGAAGTAGTTCCTGAATGCTCGACCAATACTCGGCTGTGGGCACCTCCACGTGATACATGCTACATGAACCTCCCCATCCACTGCGTGCGCCCGCCAACTGGCACTTGCAACGAATCGCACGGATAACAACCATAGTACGCGGATCAGAAGCCCCATATCGCCAAGTTGCGGCAAATTCAATCCAACTAAAGATCATAAAGGTAAACGGCTCCCAATGTTCTTCTACAAGAAATTCACACACATCAAATAGCATTCCCCAAAGCTTCTCTGTATTGTGTGAGGCGTCATCTGGGCATGAAAGGCGAATAAAATCTACATGATGTGGATCCGCGGAAAAGCCTTGCCATGCGTGAAATTCTTCTGGGAGTTCCAATGGATGATGTTTCAGGCCATCCTCTGCATCGGTGTCTTTGGGCGGTATAAGAGCCGAGACAATGCTCCACATGCAGAAGACGTAATGAAGAATTGTAGAGGCACACGAACGCCTACAGATGGCAAATTGATGCCCGTCAAGGGGTTTCTCCGGCGCCACCACAAAAAGAAGATACATAATCCGAATCGCGGTCATGGTCTCGCGGAGAGAGGACAGTTCACCTACAACCCCAGTGGAGCCTGTTCCAGAGCGCGTGGAGGCTGCATCCAAGTAGAGAAAGGTGCGTCCAGCCAACGAAGACGTCATCATCTGCCGCAGACTCCACACCGATCCCTCCCGCACGCTTTCTTCAGAAGAGCGATACATTTGGCAATCGCTGAATCGCTCTACAGAGTCCAAGGCAGAAAGTAGCAGGGTTATAAGCTCACGTCTGGAAACTGCATTACGAATGGTCATCCATTCCGACATTTGAATAAGTGCCTCTGCCCTTTGAAGAGGTTTGCATTGCAAAACCTCAATGGCCTGCATCCAACCATTTGTACTATCTGCAATGCTTTTGGCGTTCTTCGCGATGGCAATGCGCACCGCCGCCTCAATTTCAGGATCACCGCCCTTGACTTTGTTGACCAACTGCGCCGTAGGAAGCCCCAGATTGGAGCGAAATTGGGCCTCATACGTCCGAAACAACTTATGGTACTTCGCCGGCAGCACAGCAAGAAGATCCCTTAGTGCTTTTATTCCTTCCTCATAAGCACCCTGTTCCGACAGACCTGAGAGAAAAATGGCAGCCATGGTCGTAATGAGCGACGATACCGCATCCCGCTCTGCAAGACCTTCACCGTCCCTGTTGCCCCCGCCCCCACGCGAAGACAACAAAGCCACGGACAACAAGGATGGTGAAAGCAATATACGAAGGCTTGTAAAAAGCAGCGGACGCAAGGCCCCACTCAACGATCCTGCGGCACAACAAAAAGCATGATAAGCCTCCGTTATCTGTGATACACGTGTAGACACTGGGCCGTGAGAAGCTGCAATAGCACTGTTGGTGATGGCTACAAGAACCTGCTTTTCCAAATCAATCCGCCTGGACCGCTCAAGGCCACTTCCCAAGCGTCCAAGCACATTCGCCTGATGAAGCAGAATTTCCGCATACCAGTACCAGTCATCCTCCGACGGTTTGGGGAACACGCCTCCGCTAGCGACGGCAGAGAAAGGCGCTGTATTAGACGCATGACCTTTCTCTTTACCAGTGTGGCTGGTGATGGGAGACTTGGTACCCCACCCAAGTTTCCCATTCTGGTACAGCTGGTCTGCAATGCGGCACAGCTCCAGTGTAACCCGCTCATTGTCTGGTACTTGGATGCTGTGTGTTGCAAGGCGTCCACATAACTCCACGGAGGGATCTGTGCGGAGTAGTTCCAGAGCCTCCTTGTTAACCAAAGTTCGCTTCTCCTCTACTGGCATGGGACCATTTAGCCTCCCAAGCAAAATTAGCAACTGTTCCTGTGGGTGATGGGAATCCTCTGGGTTTCGCTCAAGTAGACGATGAATGCATGCATCCAGTAAACAAAACATTTTCCTCTGTGATGGCAACTGCCACTTCCCCATCACCTCACGACAGACCTCTCCTGCTTGCCGAAGCATGGAGTTACCAGCCTCACAGAGGGGGTATAAGAAGGTCTTTCGCAGTGTCTCCGCCAAGGTGTCACAACCCAACTCTTCGTTTACTTCACCTTTAGATGCGATGTATGATTGCAAAATAGACATAATGTAACCAAAACCAATATCATGGAAGAGCTTGTACTCTCTATTGGGATCAACATGGGTTTGATTGAGCGCCGCATACAGCTCTCCAAGCGCCACTGTAGTAGGAAGGAACAATCCATTGCGGAACATCTCGGAATACCAGCTAATCAGCGACAGACATGCATTTACAGCAATCCACTCCTCTCTGTAACCAGCCGCACACAGCTTAATACTAATCTTTGCGGCTTCAGAGATGTGAGACATGGCATCTGCTGTAGAATCCCGCTTCACCCTAATGGACTTCCTATCGGTTGTAGCCAAAATCTCAGCCATGCTCAAATGTGCCTCTGCCTTTATAACAAGTAAGTCTCTGGACTCTGTTTCATTAATCACATCAATTTGAGTTAGGCTACTTGCCACCTTTTCGATGATGGGGCGCATAGCTGAACTATTTCCCTCCTTGGCCTCCTTCAGGAGGAGATAGTAAATGTTAGCAGCCAGTGGGTTTGTAATGACCCGCGGCGCTGGTTCACCAGATGATTCAACAATAACGGGGTGTCTTTTCGCACGAGCCCCTTTTGAGCGCTCCCGCAATGGAGGATGCTTTTCCATTACCAGGGTACCTGGATCCAACAGCTGGCCTAGCGGCGGGAGCTTTGTCACGGCTGATTGCAAGAGCACAAGCCGATTAGACGCGGAGCCCGAGGTTCGAGCCTGTTCAATGAGGTGGATAACTTGATCCTCCTGCGCAGAGAAAACGCTGCTGTCAATGGCCTTCCGCACCACACATCGTCGCCGCAGGCAAAGTAGCGCAAAATCCATGGGGAATACCATGTTGCCCTCCGCGTTAACGACGCAGTAGTTCAGTGCAAGTGCCCGATCCAACTGCTCAATGGCAGAGGCTGGGTTGTCCTCCTCCAACTCAATTAGGCTCGACTCATACGCCACGTGCACAAGCAGTGCCGTCAAATTCGATCCATAATGTGTCAGCAACAACATGATGCGCTTCAAGGTAAGACGCAATTTTCTACGTGTCTCTGGCTGCAGAAGGGGAAGGCATAGATTCCATAAAATAACGCATCCGACTTGCAGTGTATACGCATGTTCGGAAGAGTCATCAATCATGCGGGCACTATCCATCGTCCCTTCCACAGCCTTGATGCAGGTAAACAAGGCATCTGCCATGGTTCTGGTGAGGTAGCTGGCATCCAACGCCTTGGCGGCGCCCAGAGAACCGCATGCGCGGGCACGCAAAATGGCCTGAGCAAATTCACCAAAAAGGCGGGGACGAACGCTCTCACTTTGAAGCAGCTTCGGTAAGCTTACCTTGCATACCTCGTCCGCCCCACATAACGCAAGTCCAAGCACCACCTCGCTAAGAACGTCCATTACTAGCGCCGGGTCACTGAAAGTGATTTCAGCCTCCATTCCCTTGCGACTCCTCAGTTTTGTCTCCTTCTTCTCTGGATCAAGGAGCAGTTTTTCATGGGCAGCAACAAGTTCCGCCGTCGCACTATTCTCATCTGTAATACCACAGAAAAACGACTGCGCCACGTAGAGAGCCTGCAGGACAGGCTTTGTGTAGTCCTGTTTCGAACGGGTGCCTGACAGGTTGGACCAGAAGGCAATTTGCACACGCAAAAATTGAAGCTGCAGCCGCTCCGACCCCACCTTTGCGACAATCTCCGAGGCTGTCGACAGCTGCGTCACCGCGTCTTGATGGCGACCAACCCCGCGAAGACACCCCGCATACCGCGTGATCCACTGAAGCTGAGAAAACGGCCCTCCTATGCCAAGCTTCTCATGCAGTGCAACGACAAAGGCCGCGATATCCACCACGCTATCAAATGTCCCCGGGTTGAAGAGGTCACGAATGGCCAGCCACAAGTGCTCCACACCAGCAGTGAGCGTGTGTGCCTCCTTCGGCCACTCCTCCAGCGCAATTTTTATCCCAGTCACAATTTTGGTGGCACAACGCAAGTGCAGCGTCACCTTCTCCCTGCCTCGGGAGGAGCTGGGAATGCCGTGTAGGCCGAGAAGGCCCTCACAGTACAGCGCCCGCGCATCCAACGCCTTCGTCGGCGCCCGCTTCCCCATGAAGTTTTTAAGGCAACTCTCTGCCACACCCCATACCTCCAACGCCATCGCCGCCTCGCAACAGAGTATATATAACTCGCTAAAGACATTCGGCGATGACAATTCTCCAGAGGCCTTCCCTAATTCCAACCCTTGCAGAGTATTGAAGGCCTGCTCAAGTGCAGCCACGGAATGCTCCTTCTGGCTCACCCGCAGCTGCTCTTTTACTGCACCAACAATGTGCACCATATCACCTGCAAAAGAAGAAGAAAAAAAAATGGCCTTCCTTCTCTACATGCATAAATGTATATAATTTCCGTTAATTGGCGGAGGTTATTTGTTCATCAAGCAAATAAATAAATAAAAAAACATGACATGAAGAAACGAAGAATAACACACTATTGCAAAGGCCAGAAAAGTTAATAAAAAGAGAGAGAGAGAGAGAGCAAGCGCCGGTGTCAGCACATTGCAAATCCTCAAAAAAAAGAAAGGAGGAAAGTAAGCAGTGAGAATGAATCTCTCTCGGTGTGTGTTGCATCTGAGAGAAAAAGAGAGAAAGAAAGAGAGTGAAGAACAAAACAAAGAAAAAAAAACCCAAACACAAAACGATGCACGAGCGTCCGATGAAACAAGTGAGAAGGTGATGAGGCACAGGCACAGACACGGGGCCCCGTTTCCCGCACAACATTCCGCTGCGTCCATCACGCCGGATCCCTCGCTTTCTTTCTTTCTCTGTCTCTCTCTCTCTCTCACACACACGCACAGTCATACAGAAAAAAAAAGGGGGGAGAGAGTTAAATGCGCTATTCCTTCAACATCTTCTCTACGCAGGCAAACCGAGACGCGTCTAGTGATGCTCGGGCGTACCGCAAGAAGACGTCCGATGCAATCATCGGCAGTACAGTGTTCCTAAACGCCTCAAAAGCCTGCTCAAGCAGCGCCGCATTCGCGGCACCAACCTCACGGTTTGCCCTAGCGTACACATCCTCCGCCAGACTTAACGCCTTGTGGTGCTCTCCGCCCTCAATGTAACCGAGAAACTGCTTCGCCGCACGCCGTGCCTCAACCTGCCGAGCTTCGAGCATCGTAGGACTAAACGACGTGCCAAACTTCAAAAGATCCAGCCAACCGCGGACAGGCTCCTGCAACCGGGTGCCTTTACCTGCCTCCTCGATGGCGCGTGCAAGTTCAAAGGCCGTGGCGCGAACCCTCGCCGCAGGCGGGATGCATTGCACCTGGTGTAGTGGCGTTGCAACGATGGACAAGTCGCTGCTTTCTGTGTCCTTCAAAGCGGTGTTCAACTCCTCCTGGAAAGGCGCACCGCTTGCCATGCGGCATTTCAACGCCTCCAGGTTAAGACCAACGGAAATCAGTTTCTTGCTTATGTACCCGAATTCGCTAAATTCACGTTCAGCCAACTGGGTCACCACGTGCAGGTGGCTCGTCACAATATTCGATACCTCCTGGTAGTAGTGTTGCGCCAGCGAGACGTCGTCAAACTCCTCCAGAAGAGGCTTGGCGGCCGCCGCAAACGACTCCCGTTTCTCCCGCAACTCATCATCTAGCCGTTTGACCTCAGCCGCGTGGGCCTCCTCTTCGTTCTTGCATTGCAGCCTTGCTGTGGAGAGATTCCCACGTGCAATCTCGTTGCGCACACGCTCTCGCGAAAAGGCCACATCTGGCGTGAAGAAAAGTGAGCGTAGATACTCCATCCCTGGAGAACCCCTATCTACACCTCCCGCACACGCAGCAGGAGAGAAGAAAGAAAGAAAAAAGAAAAAATCTGGTATTGCGCAATGAAGCGTAAAAAAGCAGTGACAACTCCGACGCATTCTTCCACGCAAACCGCACTCTTTCAATCGAGTGTAAACACACATACATGGGGAGAAAAAGAGGGTGAATCCGAGAGAGGACAGGCAACAGCAAGGCAACAGGAAACCCGTAATTGTCACACGTAAATCCTCAAAAACAAAAAGCAAAAAGAAAAAGAAGAAAAAAAAAATAATAATAATAATAACAACAACATATTGCGTCCCGCACTAACTTCAGCCTCTTCACTTCGCGGCAATGGGTGGCATCAAAATCTCCGCTTTACCCAATCTGAGTGAGCAGAATATATCTGATGCAGGTCGTCTTGACTAAACTGCAAGAGTGTGCTAAGCACTGGAAAGAGACCTCGTCCCACACTTCCGCCTTCCTTCGCACAGAGCAATTTCACGACTGCGCAGCGAAGGTAAGAAAGTTGTTGTCCCTCCAGCACCTGCAGACGAGTGGTCTCCTTGGGATTAGCTTGATGCTTGGCCGCAATAAGTTGCTTCTTCGTCTCACACAACTCCTCGGAGAGTCGCATTGTCCCGCCCTCGAGTTCCGCAATACGCGCCACTGCCTCCGGCAGCGTGAGAGATCCATGCTGAGGATCCAACGGCGCCTTTTGAGTACTATTCGTACCATTGCCCTGCGCCAACTTCCTTCGCAGCTCCCGCAGCTCCGTCAAAAATGTCTCGTTCTCACCCTGCGTCACTTTCAGCTCATCCTGCAGAGCCTCAAACTCTTCCAGCAGCTCCATGTACGCCCTCTCGCTGTTTTTGTCTACCAACTGTGCGTCACCTTGGCACTGGCGGCGGCGGCGGCGGCCTTCTCTGCCGCCTCTGCCACCAGTGCCCGCTCCTCCAACTCAGCCCGAAGCTCCGCCACCTCCCCCTCATAATTAGTCACAAGCCTCTCAATTTCGTCACGATGCTGGTCAAAGATGCCACTCTCTCGGGACGCAAATTCCCGCCGCAAATTCTCCATCTCCTCCTCTAGGCGCGCCTCAAATATATTGATTTGCTCCGCATTCAGTTTGTTGTTCAATGCCATGTGTGAAGACTCCAGTTGCACGTTGGTCGCCTCAAGTTCCTCCAGCCGATTTTGAAGCACGGAGAGGGCCTGGTCACGGCTATCAACCGCGTGATTGCGCTCTCTAACCTCCGCGAGAGCCTCACCTAACTGCAGCTGAAGACCAGAGACTTCAGACTGCAATGCTTCAATGTTCTTCGCTTGCAGTCGAAGCGTCTGTGCCGTGCGACGTTGGCACTTGTCTAGCTCTTGTGAGGTGGCTGCCGCCACTTCCAGCACAACCTCCGACTTCCTCAGCAACACAATGACGGAGGCATCTATAGCCGCGCCTGTCCACCGCACTAAATCGCCCACGAAAGATCCGGCTGGAACACCGACGGGCAATGAAGACACCAACGGCAACGAGGCACCAGCAACTTCACCTTGTGCTACACTGTGTATATGCTGCTCCTGCTGCTGGAGCTCCCCGTGGCACTTCCATTGCGCCCTGGCCTCCTGTAACTCATCACGCTCATGGGTGAGTCGCACAATACGATCACGCAACTCGTTCACTACGACCTGCGTCTTCTTCTTCCACAGCTGCATGCGCTCCTCTGCCTTCTCGAGTTCGCCCTGCAGCCGTCTGACCTCGCCACCAACATCCTCCACATATTCGCTACTGGCTTGCTCCATTCTAGACACACACAAAAAAAAAAAACTTTTTAAAAAAAAGCTGAGGCTTTTGTAAATGGCAAAAACAACAATACACAAACACATTTGTTGTTGTTGCTCTGTTTTTCCTTATCCGCGCTCCCTCTCGCTGAAATGTGCAGGGCAAAACACGGCCCAGAGAGCGTGAGGCAAATGCAAAAGCAAGACCCACATAATAAACTTTCCTTGTTCATCTGATGCCCCGCCATCCGCCGCGTTCCTCCGTTTAAACAACAGCAAACAAACACATAGACAGACACAGACTAACAGATACAGACATAAGCAACAAATAGTAATAACAATCATTCTCACTGAAGAGAATTCAACGCTCTTCCCCAGTTGTCGATGAGGCTTCCTCAGGCACAACCCGTTGTCCCTTCGCAAAGGGACCGCCTGGCTGCCATGGCATGTATACAGTAGGCGCCTGCAGCCGTTTTTCCTCCACTAATTCACGCTTTATGCTTCCCTGCAGGATGCCAATGTCATCCATTGCATCCCGCGTGCCATGGTCAGAGCGCCACGGATGCCACGCCTTCACATCGTGGTGGGCCGCCTCGGGGCTAAGGCGGCCCTCCGTGTAGCTCCACCTGCTACGAAGCACGTGCATCTGTGTCCGCCACGCCCGGTACAAGTAAAAGCTCATCACAAGAGACAGGAAGACAATAAAAAATGCGATATCCTGCAAACTAAACGAACGATACTCTGGATTTTCCGCCGTCTCCCGGTGAATTGTATTCGTCACGGTGTCGTAATTTACCCGCCTAAAGTTTATATCTCTGGTTTTTGTGCTGGTGGCGTCGCCCTTGTCATGGCGGTGTGTCAAGAGGATCTTGTGCGCCTCCCGGAGAAGCTGGAACTGCTCACTTGATCCGCCGCGGTCAGGGTGATACCGCAGCACCAGTTGGTTGAACCTCTTCTTGATCTCGCCCGCCTCTAATCGGTCGCTCATTTGAAACCCAAAGATGGAGCACGCCTGCTGGTACGTCATGTAGCCCTTGTCACCGGCAATGCTGCCCTCGAACTTCTCGTACACAAAAAAACGAGCCGTGCGCCGCATATCTTTCAGCACTACAAGCGCGTCACACGTGCGGTGAAGCCAAACTACAAATTAATAACACAACAAAAGAAAAAAAAAACATCTTTCGTTGTAAACAAATATACGATCAGAAGGAAACACAAAAGAGAACATACGCCACACACGCATACAACGTAGGTATACTTGTATATATGTATATATCCATATATACACCAAAGCCCAAAAGGAGGAAAGACAGAGAAAAAAACAGACAAAAAAAAAAGAGAGAGAGGAACATAACAGTTGCGTGTATGTGCGCTGGTGTGGGCGGTGGCATGAGAAACGGAGAGAGAGCGAAACAAGAAGAACAGTCCACTCCAACACTTCACATTTCCCCACCGCCATCAACAAACCTCGCAACTGATATCATCCTCATTACTGTTTTGTATTCCATTCCATAGATACATATATGTTATGTATACTTCCTCTTTCTTTTCCTGCTGTCGTAGTTTGTTTCCCCTTTTGGGCCTCGTTGCTGTACATCTCCGTGCCAAATCCCCCCACCTCATTTTTTATTGTTGTCGTTGTTCCCGTCAGACCTCACGCTTAGCCCCACGTCAGAGGTCGGATCAGGCAGAGCAGCTGAAACACGCAACGCCGAAGAAGAAAATTTGTGTGGTAAACGGCCTGCAGACGCACCTCCTCCCCCTTTTCGTGCAAGAGAAGTGTGTAGAGGTTATAGTGGGACTCATGCCCCTCAAGGATGTGCAAGTCGGGCAGGTCGGCGGACTCCTCAAGTGCGGCAAAGGCGCAGCACTGGGCCTGGTACCGCACGCTGTGCCAGTGGGAGTCGTCGTCTAACCGAACCTCCAGCTGTGCCTCGTGGTCAAGGGCACGGGACTGTTTGGAGATGCGAAATAAAGCCAAATTCGCATCCTCACCGTATCTGTTGTGCCGCGAGCTTGCAATGGCGTAAAAGAGGCAAAATTGTGCGATGTCCGCATACACCTTTTCCTCCAAGGCAGGAGTCTTTGGCACAACGTTTTCAATAAACTTCGCATCCTCGTCGTCTAATAGGAAGTTGAAGCCGGTTTGCGAGAGCAGCCGCAGCAGTGTGGCAGGCTCAAGCCAGTTATCGCGCAGGTACCCCAGCTCCGGGTCCTCTGGCGCCAAGAGCTTGCAATGCACATCCTGGACGAGAATGCGAAACTCCCGGTCACCGCCTTCTCCACGACGACGTCCCTCCAACACAAGCAACACCTGATCAAAGCCCAGCGGATGTAGACGCCACTGCTCGTACGGGACATCAAAGCCCTTCTCCTGCAAAACCGCAAAGGTGGCAAACTCCGAGGTTGCAAACACACAGCGTCTTGTCTCGCTTCCACTAACATCTGTGGGAATGTTTGTGTGGCTGCAAGGTTCCCAGTCTTTGGACGTCTCCAGCCATTTCCCAATGAGAAGTGAGGAGTGCCGCATAACAATGCTGTTTGGAGCCTCGAAGGAAACAAGGAGTGAAAGATCCTCCTCCATATTTTCCACAACATGCGGGGGGTATGGAACTACATGTAAGACGTGCGCCTCTTCTGTCTCAAAGCGGTAGAGCCAGTCTCCGCTAGTCTTTGGCCGCTCCGTAAAATTTAAAGGATCTATTTTAACAACACAATTCAACGCGTAGTACTCTCGACCAACAGAACCGTGGTGGCCGTGCGGATTAAACCCCAATTGAATAATACGCACCGCCACATTCTCTTTACTCAATCCCAGCGCCTTTGGGAGCTTTGGTAAGGTGCTGGAATTGGGATCCAGGCGTATTGCGATGTTAGGAAATATCATGGAAGCAAAACTGCGCGTCGTCTCCTTCACCTTCACCCATAGGCCATACTTGACCACAGGGCTGGCTGGTGGAACACTCATGGTTAGGAACTCACTCTCTGGACCCTCCAGCATAACGTCATACCCAAGCAAGGCGTGAATGGTGATGAAGTCTAACGAATGTAGCACCTGTTCACATACCTGTCCAATGTTTGTGCGGAAAAACGCGAGATCCTTCAGCTTGCGCTGCGTCAAAGCACGATCCGCCTCCATGTGAATAGCTTCTGTTAACTCGTATGCCTCAAGGCACCGGTTAAGTTCAGAGTTCACCATCTTCTTGCGATCCTCGGGCGAGACGCCAAGTTCCCCGTTCACAAACCAAAGCTTGCGCATGGACGTACCAACAGAAACCCGACCAGCGAACGCCGTCACAACGGGTCTATGTTTGTCATATTCCTCCTCCATCTCGCGCCACACACTTAAAAATGTGTTGATGGAACTTTCACTGTCGACTTGTGGAAGTCGTGAGGCATCTGGAACACGTCTCCAGAGACGGTGCTTTTCGCACTCCTTGTAGGCAAGCTGCTCGCGCTCTTTCATCTCCCTCACTATCTTATCATGCTCAACCTTGTCGTTGCTCAGTCGCGCCCTCTCCAAGGCAGTGTCGAGAAAAGCATCTTGACGTGCCACCTGATCTGTCGCCTCCCGCTTCACCCGTTCCCGCTCGTGTTGCTTGTACATCCGATCGGCCACCTCCACGGCTTTATTGAGAGCCACCTGCTGCGCCTTCGGCTTCTTAGGCTTCGCATCCTTGTTTTTGTCACTCTTACCCACCATGCCACCGCCGGCTGAGAGTGAGAACGCTGTCCCTGCAGCCGGCTTCCCCCTGGACCGCGCGCCCTCCTTCGGGGGCATGCCTCGGCCACGCAATCGTATGCCGCCTCTCAAAGGCTGCCCGACGCTCTCACACAATCGTCAAAGAAAACAAAAGCCACAGAGACAGAAGGGCACATGATGGAAAGCACCAGCACATGCAACTACACAACTACGCAGGTAAAGCTGCCACACCGCAGAGCAAAGCGAATCCGCACTTGCCTACAACCAGGCAAGCAGCAAATCAAAAACAAAACAAAAAAGGTAAAACAAAAGCAGGAGCAGGTGATCAAAACAAATGTCAGGGAATGGAAGCAAAAAACAAAAACAAAAAAGGAAGTCAAAAACTCGTGGAGAAAACAGTTCGCCCAATCCGCCCACCCCACCCTACCCGACTTAACAGACAATGAGCGGGCTCCTTCCAACGGAACGCTGCATTCTTGAATATTGGCGATACCTGGGGTTGTTTCTGTTCCTCACACACTTCAAAAAGGAAATATATATACAGAAGTTGCAAACGAAACCGTTTCAAAGCGAGGCTATCCACAAGAACGATCCACACAGTCATTCCTTGTTGGCTTGTCTCTTTATTTTTCGTTGTTGTTGCTTTTATTTACTTGCATTATGTAACGGAGAAGCACGGGGGGAAGGCAGAAAGATGTTTGCTGGAGGTAAAGACGAAATCATTCATTCAGCGTGTACGACCTCGCCTCAACGTATATGGCAGGACATATACCGCCGCCTCCCCCCTCCTCCTTCAATCAACACAGTACGCCGCGGGTCGATTGAGCACAAGGAGGCCGGAAGTTGTGCCACAAACAACTCGCGTTGATCCTCACCAGGCCAGACGCATTCAAAATGGACCCCACCTCTGCAAAAGCCAGAAAGAGGGCAGGATATACAGAAAAATACGGATATTGGCCAGCCCGGAGATTAGCGTAGTGGAGACCAACACACTCTGGAGAGAGCGGAGCAGAAGTCTGGGTCGCAGTCAACTGCAGATACAGTTCCCCCTACATCTCTAAATACAATGATTCGGTGTTGAGGCGAGCACCGCTCATGTGCGTCCATATCCTCGCCTCACAACGATCACGGAAAAGAGTTTAAGCCTCCATCAGCCTGCGCTGACGCAGCAGCTCCAACACGCCCTCGTTGGACATTGGTGCAGGGCACAAAATGACATTGCCACCCAACGGGACTCCCGCAACTGGAACCTCCCACAAAATTGAGCCGTGGGCGCAAAGCAAACACTTGGTTTCCTTCTCAGTTCCATGTATGAGCTGCTCCAACTCTCCACGAGAGTGAACGATGTTGCAGGGTCCCAGTGATCCCGTGTCTACAATGCGAACAAGAGCAAAAAAGGCATCTTCAACTAAATTGTTGGAAGGCTTCTCTTTTTTGTCCGCAAGAACCTCCACAAAAATATCTCCATAACAACGGACATCATTGTGGGGGCGCGCCTCACGATTGCCTCTAGGAGGAACGTCAACGTACATCCACACACGAATTCTATCAGGAGTTTGGCCAATGTCTTTAGCAATAGCAGCATGGACTTCCTCTATGCAAAAGAAGGTGGGAACTGTTGTGCTTTCCACATGAACCGAGATGACGTTGCTATCATCGAGAGCCCTCACAAGGGACTCTACTTCTGTAATGTAGCTAAACTCAACACTCTCAGATTTATCCCTCCATATTCGTTCACGTCCAGCGACAATTTCCTCTGCAATGGCCTTAATGTGCGCAGGAACGAGATATTCCGTTAGTACCTCTTTTACCGACAATGCATTGACATATACAAGTAGTGTCGCCCGCTCATTGAAGACTTTAAAGCACCCCTCCGTTTCGCCGCTGCAAAAAGCTGAGCGCATGACCTCAGCTTCCGAAACGCGGGTCACATACATATCGTTAAAACAAACCCATTGCTCCCCAAAGCGAACACACGCAAAATAATGTCCATTCTCGGCGATGCCTTGGTGTACAACAATAGAGCGTAGTTCATAGAGAGGACTCAAGGGTGTTGCCTCACTTCCTTCTGTCTCTCTTGAAACAAGATACGGCTCAAGGTTAAGCGTTGTTGGAAAGGTCCACTTCCCAGGCAGTGTTCGCACAGTGAAGGTCTCCATAGAAAACTCTGCTCGATTGGGGTGAATGAGTAAAACTGGTGGAAGACGTACAAAACGCTGGCTTCGCTCAATGGTGTGGTTCGTGCATGGTCCTCCTTTTTTTATCTCCAGTGAAACTCCCTCAATGCGTTCTGGTTTTGCCCAGTGATCAAAAGATTCATAGATGTTTTCCATGTTTTTTACAAGCAATTCAACGTCGTAAAAACCCTCGTTTCGGTACGAAGTATAGTCAACACCGTCTACGGTACGTGTGATGTATGTTAATTCACCGTAGAAAAGATCACGAATAAAATTCTCGTGGGGAGTTCCCTTACAAATAATTTCGAGACGATCAAACAACTTCTGCATCATTTCGTGCACATCGTGCTGTACCCACGCGTGATCGTTGCCCCAGCCAAAGGCGTCTGTCAGCTCATTCGTGGAGATGAGCGGTGTCTCACAGTGAAGTTGTGCAAATATATTCCTCAACGCCAATATGACAGGGTCATGATCGGGGAGCACCATATGGTACAGCGTCCGGCGAAAGGATGGCAGATGAAAGAGGGCCTGAATGATGGAGTTCAAGTAACACGTGCTGCCTTGATTCACGAGCCCAACGTACGGCAGTGTTCCCTCCACCCCGTCTGCAGGGGTTTCATTGCTCTCGCTGGGTAACATGCTGTGCGGCGTATATTTCTCGCTCATCTCGCCCACACCCCTCTTCAAAGCAAACGTCGGAGGTGTTACCACGAAAGTACCCGCACGCACCCCTCTTTCTCGAGGTACGTATTCGTTTGTTTGTCGTGTTTTGTTTTGTTTTTTCTTGTCACGGCAATACGGCGCAGGCAAACCAAAAAAAAAAGGAAAAAAAAAATGGCAGGCACCTGGCAAGGGAAAAGGTATCCAAACTCACACAGAGACGCATAGAACAAATAATAATAATAATAACTCCCCACACGCACAAAAACAAAAACAAAAAATGTGGTAAATACAATCAGAGAAAAAGAACCACAAACAAACACAAAAAAAAAAAGTGCAACTTCTGCCGAGGTTGCTAGAAGTGTACATATGTGTACATATATGGAGGCCTGTCTAGTTACCGTTTCCCCAGCTGAAATGGCCGCTTGGATGCGTAGTCAGTCGGTCCAAAGTGCAACAACGAGGAGACCGGCTGATTCACCTTCTTCGTCTGCGCTGCCACGGTTTCAGCCTTGTATCCCTTAACCGACTTGGGAGCATCCCTCGCCGCAACATCTAATGCCCGTTTCTCCGCAAGCTCGTTAAAGAAGCGTACCTGTTCTCTCCGTCGCTGCGGATCATAGGAGTAGGTACGAACACCCGACGGTGCCGCAGCGCCAAACTTCAGCTTGGAGGGGGTTTGGGCAATACGGCGTTCGATTCGAATCATCTCATTCGGTGAAAGACGCCCTGGTGGAACTCCCTTAAGCTCTGGTGGCACAGGAATATCCACTCGGGCGTTCAGCAAAACCTGTGAGATTAACTCAGTGAGCATGGGAACATTCTCTTGACGGGCGTACAGCTCCAGCAGTTGCAGGTAACCTGCCAAATCTCCCATGTTGTCTAATACCCGTGAGGCACCAATGGCATCCAGAACAGTTCTCAGTAGAATTTGGAGCGTGTTCAGTTGCTCATTGAGCTGCTGGCACTGTTGATACATGAGAATATTTTCATCATGACCAACCCGCCAGAGCTCCTCCAATGCAGAAATATCAAACTCCACCGTGGAAAGTGTTTTGTCAATAATCTTCAGTGACTCAAGCTTACGAACCTTCTTGCGTAGAGAAGGTGATTGATATACGGCGTTGATGGGTGCGCGAAAAAACAGCACGCGCGTAAACATTTGGTTTGCTTTATTGCCCACTTCCGCCCCCCCTTCGACTTCATCCCGAAGCAGTGGCGGTAAATGCGTCTCCGCATCCTTTGTCAATAAGGAAACAAAACTTTTTCGCAGTTTTTGTCCCACGGGGAGTTGGAAATACTTTATGGGGTAACGGGTCAGTAGACAACCCAACAATCGCGCCGTCATCGACACAAAGACCTCGTCATTTTCGTCAAACATACCTGGTCGATCGAAAGCGACACCTTGCTTGTTCACTGCGTGAATCATTCCATAGGACCTACCACAGTCGTCATTTGAAAAAATGGGAAAAATAAGGCAGCTAGTCATGGACTTCCATCCCAGTTGCTGCAGCTCCTCCTCCATAACACCATGGTCGCGCTCACTTACTGTAAGCCGCTGCGGCTCCCTTCCATTAATCGCAATGTACTTGTGACAGACTGTGGTGTGAATCTCCTTCGCCAGCATCAACTCCATGTCATTCCCTGCCAGGGGATCGCCTACAGTGCTGCTAAATGGAAATCGAGCGCCACAACGCAAGTTATCATACTCATCGTAAAGAAAAATTCGAACAACCTCACAGCGAAGCAGTACAGCCGTAATTTCAGCAAAGACACTCAACGTGGAGGAAAAAAAGTCTCTGGCCGAGAGCGACTTGGAAGCAGTACCTTGCATCCTCAATTGGTTCCTGTCAGAAAAAGCATTTTGACCTCGCTCCTCGTTCGAAGGGGCCAACTCCCTCTCTGACTGCTGCATCGCGGTAGTCCCCACCTGTTTTCGTGCTGAGGCATTGGTCTCCAGTGACTGGCGTGTACCCGCCGTCTTCTCTTCCAATTTGTAAAAGGCGGATTTGTGGCCCGCCTCCAGTGAGGCGTACGCCTCCCGGAGCTGCTGATTCATCCTCGCGCGAACGTCTTTGAGGAGTTGCCCCACTCGCGGCACCGCATACTCCTCGCAGCGCATGGCAATTTCGTTCAGCGCGAGGGTAATTTCGTCAGATATCAATTCCAGCGAGGGCGGGAGATTGTGCATCCTCTTGGAGGCAAACAAGTTATCCACCTCCATGGCTTTCTGGGCCTCATGCAGGCACTGCTGGCGCAGCACCGTGTGCTTTTTGCGCAGACGCTCAAGTAGCGGGTCGTCCCCCTGCGAAGCCTCCGTCTCCTCTTCGTCCTTTGGTGACTCCTTCATTCTTGTTCCGGTGCTGCCCAACACACACACACACACACACAGAGAGAGAGAGAGAGACAAAGAATATATGTATGTTTCAGTCATCCACTTCGGCAGGACATCCCTTTGTGTTTGTGAGTGCAGGAGATGATGCGAATGTGTTTGTTGTTGTTGTTGTTTTTGTTGTTTTTTTTCCGCTCTTGTATCTGCCTTTTTTTTTTTGTTCACCTCCCCTCCCTTCTGCGTTGATTTACTTCTCCGAGACAAACGGCGTCAGACATGAAAATACGACGGCGTGGTGTACCTTGTGCTGATCCAGGCAGCGCAACACGCAACGCGCATCACGCAGCGAAAAGCAGCCCAGCAGCTGCTCCGCCCGACTTAAAAGTGCAGGAAGCAGACGACGCAGCTCCTTCGAACAGCAAAGCGCTGTCTCATTGTTTGCCCGTGAACCGCTTAGCATCGCCACATACTTACAGACGCTCCCTAGCTCCGTCGGCTTAAGCTCCGCGTGCAAGACGATGCACCGGTTGAGAACGGCCCCCGCATAAGTCTCATGGCAACCGCTTAGCATCACAATGGCCTGTAAGGCGTAGATAACGTCTTTCGGAGTGTACGTGGCGACATGTTCCACGGCCCTCCATGAGACAGAGCGCACCACATGCACACTATGCCTTTCACGCAGCCGCAACAGCGAGGAAAGGACATTGAGTGCTTGTCGTGCGTCGAGTGGAGCAGTGTGCAAACGGCAGAGGAGGCAATCCAGTTGCGGAATTGGCATGCGGCAGCGCTTCACGAGAAGTGAGATCAACCGCAGGACACAAACCAGTTCCGCGGGAGCTGCACTCCCAGTGTACTCTTGCCTGGTCAACTGGCGACACAAATGCTGCAGCGCCTGCGTGTCTGCAAGCTCAAGCTCGGCAGCGGCCCTAAGCAGTGCCAGACAATCCTCAGGGCGTGATGCGTGGAGTGCGGCACGCTCCAGCAGAACACACAACCAATCACTCACGCCTGGGGAAAAGTATGGCGACGCGCCACTCCACTCCTCCTCCCCCGCTTGTAAATCTGTTGTGGCGGGGCGATGCCTTTTAAGGTATCGTGCCACACTTGCCAGAGCATGGAGCACCTGCAGGGACTCCTTCACCCCACACTCCGTCAGCCACTGTGTGTAGTTTGCCTCCATCTTACGAACGACGCCTTCAATACGCTTGCGCCGAACGTGCTCTGGATCCTCGCCCGTGTGAATTTTTTGCAGCAGCCTACAGTGATCCACAAGGCCATGCGACTCACTGCTTCGCGCCGCACTGAAGCGATAATGTTGCTGCGGCTTCTGTGAAGCCATGCCGAGGCAGAGTAAAAGGCTGGCAAGCGCGACACGTCGCATCTCGCATGATGATGATAGCGTACAAAACGCGCAGGGCCAAAAACAAAACAGACTTTCTCGCAACTGAAAAGTCTCTGAGAAGAGAATAACGCATAGCGCATGAAAGAAGAAAAAAAAAACAACGTTTCACATGAAAAGAGAGAAATGGGCCGCGTACACGTGTAAGATAACACAGCCCTTTCAGTCGCCCCACACAAGCCGTAACAACGCGAATGCAACCACAACAAAGGGAGAAAGAAACGAATAAATAAATTGTGTGCAAAGAACTGCAGGAACAGCAATAAACTAAATAATAATAATGTGCTTTCGTTTTCTTTGCTGTTGCTGCCGCTCCCTTCGCCGTTCTTCTCTGAGCCTTACTTCCTCCAGCCCTTCACATGGGCGTGTAGCTGGGAGCAACCGCCATCAGCGCCGCTTGCCGACATGCAGCCCCCTCTCCTCTGGCACGCCCAACCTCTCAAGCACCGAGTACGGCATGCAGTAGATGGGGTTGATCTCATTCAGCGGGTGGTCCTCGTAGCCAAGGAGGCTCAACCCGCACAAACCGTAAAAGGTGTGGTAGACGTCTGCCATATTCCCAGGTTTATCTGCAATTCCACCGTCCTCAGCATCCTGGCAGGCCAAAATAAAGTTAAACAACGCCTTGCGGTCAATCCAATCCGCATGCCCAAGCATAGCAAGAGATGACACGACCCACCAGCTGTAGCACACATCCGCCTTTTTTTCAGGGCGGCCATTCAACCCTCCTGATGGCAACTGTCGCATAGCGAGCCAAGCTGACAACTGTTCCTTGTCAATGTGATGCAGCGCGTTAGCGATACTAAGAGCCCCAACGCAGCAGAATATCTGACCTGCGTGACTCTCCGCCCCTGGTGCAACCCCAAACCCTCCATCCCAGTTTTGGCACAGCAGCACCCAACGGACAGCCGCCTCAATATCTATGAGAGAGAGCCTTCCAAGCAGCTGCAAACAGTTCAGTGCAATGTAGGTAAACCGGGTGTCCACCTCCCCCCATTCATCGCCTTGAAAGGATCCATCGGGAAGCTGCATAGATGCCACCCAGCGAGCGCACTTCTCATTATCAATGATGTCCAGGGCGTCAACGAGGCAAAGCAGCTGAACAGCACTCAGGGTGTAAAGCATGTGGGAGTCTTGACCCACATTCCCACCAAAACCCCCGTCGCTATTTTGACACCCAAGCACAAATGCAATAATATCTTCACGATTCATTTTATCCAATTGACCCATTAGTTCCATAGCGCTGAGGCCCCAGAAGGCACCATTCATCTTCAGGTGCTGCATAGTCCAGTAGCTTAACTTGTCCTTGTGCTCATCCAGACTCAATATAAACTTCTGATGTTGATCTGCCAAGAGCCGTGTTAAGGGATCCGCTGTCATCGTCCTTCGAAGCACGCTACCCCCACCCACCCAAAGCCAGGCCCAAGTGCTGAGAAAATACATGGAAGAAAAAAGAAAAAAAAACATAGGCACTCCATACAAAAAAAAAAAGGATATTCTTCACAAGTAAAAAGAATATATATAAGGAGTGTCCTAGTGTGGATAATTCATGCACATTAGTGCGTCTGCTGAATATGCAACTCGCCAGTGTGACAAAGTCAAAGATGTATCGTCTTCTCTGGTTTGTTCCTTTTCACCTTCTCGTGTCACTCAATCAGAAAGGCACACAACGGTGTGACTCAGCACCACGGCGTAACAATGCGCTTCGCCACCGACCTCACAGCACGTGCTGCGTCGCAACGTAATTCCTCATCCCGTAGCGAAACGACGGCAGAATCGGTGAGAAAGTCCACCAGTGCCTTCTTAACTTCCGGGTCCTTCAGTAAATCTTTTGCAAGGTCCGTTGCTATGCCACGCAGATGCTCCTGAATCCACGGGTCTAGTATAGTCATCAGGACAAACTTTTTTGTCACCTCCTGGGTGTAGTGATCCTCAAAGAGGGCACGTAGGAAGGAAGAGACGGCAGTCATGGTGTCATCCTGCCGTAGAACCTGGACTACAAGCCGCACGACGAGGTCGAGGGTTTTCGAATCCTTCAACACATTTTCTACAACCTCCTTTGAGAGTTGTATGGCCTGCTCACGCAGACGCGCATCGCCTAGTGCCTCCGACGCCACGACGGCTGTGTGATGCACCGTGTCGTCCTTCACTGGGGCATAAAAAAAAAACTCACTGCGCCTATCCCCATTACTGCGCCCATGCTGGCCACCACGCCCTGCTGCCACGACGTAAACAAGCGCCTGCCGAAACTTTCCTGTGACGCCCCATCTCCTCTTTTCGTTTTGTCATCTTCACCATTTTTACCCTCGTCACCAATGTGAGGGGCGGGTTTGTCAAGTAAACTTGTAGTCGTTTCACGAGACGAATTTCTTCGGGACGTCAGCCACAGCGCGGCCATAGGCGCTGTAAAAAGGTACTCGCCCGCCTTGACGCGTCGCAGCATCGTGTTCTCGCAAGCTAACTGAGACGGGAGAGAAAAAAGCAGTTTAGAAACCGCCCTCGCGTTCACTTCGCACAGGTCCCACACTTGTGTGGTGCTTCCCTAACAAATGACACCAGAATTATTAGTATCATTAAAAAAGGAAGAAATAAGACTTGCTATCGCTTATTTATGACTGTGGCATTGGACACAAAATTGTTGCAGAAACAATATAACATACGTGGTACATGAGCAGCCGAGAAGGGGCAGACCGCTCCCCAAAAGCGTAAGCCGCCCGTGAGAGCAGGTTTGTCTCCCTATGCTTACGAGAAATATCCCAGTAGGAGCGTGATTATGACCCCGGACACAGTTGAAACCGACAACGACACTGTGCAATACGCAGCAGGGCATTCCGAGGTGTCTCAGGAAGCTGCACCGCCCCTCTTAACTGCGGTTAAAATCCGGCGTTGGATGCCCTTCAACCCTAATGTTTTTTTTGTTTGTTTTCCCCCTTCGCTTTTTCTCACATTTGTGTGTGTGTGTGTTGTTCTCTCCACGTGGATCCGGGAGAGATGCCGTGTGTCTTTCCAACAATGGAAGCCCCTTCGTGAGGCCTTCACGGAGACTACGCAGATTACGTTCATCCGCCTCACCCAGAGACGACTTCCTTTGCGCTCAACTTCCCCGTCTACAAAGCCACAAGTCAGGGAAAGCTTGCAGGAGCGCCTGCATTCCTTTCCCAGCCATCGCACCGCAGTGGAAAAAGGGGGAGGAAAAGGAGGGGCATTCATCAGGCAAAACCCACAGCCATTGGTATTGGCGGCCCCATCACCCATGCTGCAAAGGCACGCGTTGCGCCCCCACCCCCGAGGAACGGAGGAAAGAGAAGAAGCGGGAGATAAAGCTGCCGCTCACAAGGTCCGTGCCCTCCGCATCATCCACGTTACTCCACTGGTCCTTCACCAACCTGCGGCACATTGGCCATTGCGCCTCCCCCCGAGTTATCCACGTGCCGCAGTGAAGGCAAATCAGCCAAAACGATCGACAGAAACAACTGGAGGGGCCGTCAGCGCAATTCCATGTCCAAGTGTCCCTCCTCCAAGAACTCAACACAGCAAGGAAAAAAAAAAAGCAAACTGCACAAGAAAGTGAGAAAGAGAAACAATAAAATAAAACGCAAGCTACTCAAAGAGTGGTGAGGATAAGGGGGAGGAGCAATCGCGGCTCACTGCCGTTGTGGGCTCCTCGCATGAGGGAGTGAGGGAGGACAGAGGTGGCTGGGATATAAAACAGCTTTGGTGTAACAATTGGTGCGCCACAAGAAATTTTCGTGGTAATGGGGGAACAAGAAAGAAAAAAACAACAACAGGCAAAAAAAAAAAGTTGTCTTTAACAGATAAAAGGGAGGATGCAATAATAACCAAAAAAAAAAAAAAAACTAAATTAAATAGTAGAAAAGCGGTGGGAGGAGCACAGACAGATACATATATGTATATATATATAATTTACGTATTAGCATTGAACAAATGGTTTCCTGCTTAAAGTGGCAGATGAAAAACACACTCATGAGATCAGCATTTCCGCGTTTCCTTCTCCCCTACCCAAAAAAAAAAAAAAAGTCGTTGTTGCTGCATTTGTGTTTCTTTTTCGTTTGTTTTTTATCGGTCTCGTTGTCGGTTTCAGACAAGTGTGCTTCGAGTGTAAAAGTATCTCCCAGCAAGAAAGCCAACCGTGCCAAAAAACAAAGAAAGAATAACAAGGTGAATTTCCTTCAAATATTCGTTGTGTTGCGTGCTTTTCATCTCCGGTGGTTGCAACGTCGCCGCGGGCACGTGCATTGCGTCTGCCACAGCATCTACAACAGCCACCGGGGCACTCCGCAGTTGCACTGCGAGTTCCTGCTGAGCCTTGAGGCTGCTGAGCGCGTAGCTCCAGCCAATCCTCTCCGCTGAGATCCGCTCACAAAATTCAAAACCGAGCATATTAAGAATTCCAAGGTGATGCAGGGCACTCGCAAAACAAGTAGGTAGAGTTCGTCTTGGTGGAGATACAGAAGGAATGCATTTGTGGAGGATACAAGCAATTTGAGCCATACTTATTTCTCCGCCGGAAAGAATGTACTTCTGGTATTCTGTCTTGGGTGCAACAAGTACCAACGCGCACGCCTCCGCCACATCACGGGCGTCCACAATATTGTAATTCAAGGGAGACGTAAAGCAGCGTCGTTGCTCTGCGAATCGCACCAAGCTCTGAACGTTGCCATCACTCTCCCCCAGAAGTGACGGGCCCACCACCACGGCAGGGAGAATAACCGTCAGTGGAACACCTGCTCTGTTAGATATTCGTTCAGCCTCCCGTAACGCGGCCGCGTGCCCACGTTTCAGATGTTGTGCTTTAGCAAGCAAGCTTGTTTCGACAGGAAAAATGGCGGAAGCAGAGCTAATCAAAACCACTCGTCTGACACTTTTGCCGTTACATCGTATGGAAAGAAATACATCTTGTATGGCTGTAACAAACCGTTGCTCAACCTCATTCACATCGCAAACATCCGACGTATCGGGTCCGTCAACGTAAACTACGGCATCGCAGTCAGCCACAGCCAGTGAAAGGTCGTCTTCATAAAACAAGGAGAGACGGGAGGGGCGAGTTTCAATAAGAGTTGCCAAACCGTGAAGGGCACTTTTACCACGATATTCACGCTCCAGTAGTCGCACGTGATGGCCGTTTTTCAAAAGCCTTGCGGTCACGTAGGTGGAAAGAAGCCCCTGGGGCCCGATAAGGAGAACACGGCGGAACTGATGCCGTAAGGCCTTTTGGCTGAAGCATGCACCTCTGTGTTTGAAAATAGTATAAGATTCGTCAGGGTATTGCGTCTGCGTCGCGCTGCCAACGTCGCCGTGCGATGCAACTGAGCCCAACGGCTTCTGCAAAATCTCCAGGTTTTGAAAATCAATGGAAAAGGTCTCATCTATGCTCATTTTGCTGGGATACTCATCTGGTTGAAGAAAAAAGGCACACGGAGTGACTGGAACATCATCCGCGTTGAACACCTCAACGCCCCGGCCCAAGTACCGCGGGCGCTCAAACAGGAGCAGCCCCGTATCGCCCTCCAAGTTAACAGCCGTTGTCATTGCCTACTTGTCCCTCAAGCTTTAAATTCACAAACAAATACTTTTTTTTCTTTAAATCCTTTTTTAAATATATATATATTCTTTATATTATTTACAATCGTTTCTATATTCTGCTTTTATTTCGTTTTGTGTGTGTGTGTGTGTTCTTGTCTTTTATTTTTGTAAACGTTTTCTCCTTTTGGCACTTATAACTCTGTACTTTGTTCCCCCCTAACCCTGCGATGAAATACCTGTAAATGCGCTCTCCCGCTCCACCCCTAAGCACCACGCCGACCCGCCGTTGCCGCCAAGTTCAAGACTGTTCTTCCGACGCAATTAAAAAGCCTGTTGGTTGGTGATGGGGAGGGAAGGGGAGGGGGAGGAGGGAGGCGCCAGGAAGAGACAGGTATCACTCCCACGGTAGCACACCTAGATTATATATATATATATATAATATATATATGCGGCGTACTCTGCTTACGCAGAGTACAGTAAACTGAGAGCTTCAAGACAAAGAGCGAAGAAAAAAAGCAAAAGTGCAAAGAAGCGTTTCTTGCCGCAGATGACACCAAAAGGGGTGCCCCGAGAGCATCATGTGTGAAACAGGAAAGAAAAAAGCCAAGAGAATTCACCGCTACTTATTTCTGCCATCCATGCAGGGTAACAGTATCGCAGTCGCGCTAAGAGAAGCCGCACGCCAAGGGAACTGAATAAGAAGGAAGAAGTTGGGACCAAAACCAAGACCAAAGGGGGCAAAAGAGAAGCAGACCATCACCTTCGCCTCCTCCTCTTTAATCTTTTCCTTGCGGTGTTCACAACTCTTCCAAATGTGTGTGCCGACGGCTAATACCACAGCCACTGCTACCTAAATACTTGCTTTCTCTCCCTCTTCCTCTTCTCGTTGTTGTTACTTTTTTTTTTGGTTTGTTTTCCTTTTTGAGACTTGTTTGCTGCCGCGCCCGCGGGTTCCGTCAGTGCAGAGACACACTCGTTACCCCAAACCCCTACCCCCTGTCAAATGCTCTTGGGAAACACAAGCTCGTAAAACTGGTAAATAAAGGCGCACTCCACGCCCCAGAGGAAGAGGTTCCAGCTGGTCATTCCCTCAATAATCTCGGGGCTCTTCTTGTACGGATCATCGGGGTCAAAATCTTTAAACTCCTCGGGCCACTCCTCCTGATTAATGACAACTTTGGCTCGCTCCTCCTCCGTTAGCTGAGGGCGGCGCTTCGGGTCACGAAAAACAAACATATTGTAAGCACGGGAGCTCAATAAGAGTGGGGTTGCAGCCACCAAGGCCGTGCCCCTCGCTGTCATGCGCCGCAGAAGCATCTTTTTTCGCTCTTTGCTTGCAATGGGTTTCCTCCCGGTGGACTAGGGCGCGCATGAGAGAGAAATAAATAGAAAGAGAGAGGCGATGTTCTCACAAGCAATACGTATCCGCTTCTTGCCCCCCCACCCCACCCCCACATTGCAAAAACGAGGCAGCCAAAGACAAACAAAAACAAGTAGCTATATGAAAAAGCACGCGCAAGCAGATGAACAATATCCACTGCAAAGGAACAACACATAGAGACACTACAATAATATAAAACTCGGGCGTTCCATTTGTTTCTCTGCATTCTTGCTGGGTGTGTAACGCCGCCACAGGGATGAGCCGTGAGAGAAGCTTCACCGAAGCTCCCTAACCCTCACATTTTTTCCTTTGACCTTCTTCTTCTCCTTGCGAATGTTTTTTTTTGTTTTATTTTAATCTGTTTCAGCGTGGGTCGTAGGATGCCAGTTGTGGGATGCAAAGATTGTACCAGCTCTTAGATTCAAAAAATTTTCCTGCCTCCTTCCAGCCCACGTAGCCCTTCCTCAAAACCGTTTTCAGGCTGGTTTCTCCACTAGAGTAGTGCGGGTCGGCAATTAGGTAGCGCACCTCCATTGTGGCCAGGTTTGCATCAAGGCCCAAAATGGTATGCGCGTAGCTACTTCCTCCAATCATCACGGGGCAGGCCTTCTTGTTTCGGAAGTGGTCTACTAGAAGCTGCTGCACGGATGGGTCCGTTTCCAAGTCCGCACCACTTTCCATGCGCCTTATGGTGCACTCCATACCCGGGACAAAGTGCTGAATCACGATCATCACCTCAAAGGAGCCAATCCAGTCCTTCGAGCCTACAAACTCCTTGCGATTCATTTTATCTGGGTCTTTTGCGCGCAAAATACCTTGAATGGCTCGAATGTCCGGCATCGGCTCCGTCATGAGCCCTTCGTACTGAAACCAAGACAGTATGGTTTGCAGGCTTCGGTACGCGCAGCCCCACCCCTCATCCCTGAACCCGTCTACACTGTAGTGGTAATAGTCGTACGCACCACTCACGAGAAACGTTCCCCCACCAGAAATGGCTGAGGCTGTTGAAAGGTGAATATGAATATTGCGGAGAAGATGCTTCTCCCAAGCATGCCCCGTGCGAGGCACACCCGCCCCATGGCTGGAGAGCGCCTGCATCGTTCTTGGAAACTCTTTGCACCGCTGCCCCAGGTGCAGCAATGGACGCATCGGAAGCAGGGCCGCACGGTGCTCCGCCGTCCGCATCTCCTTCACCCCGTAGTGAATATTCAGCGGGTGTGTCAGTGGCGGAGGCCAAAACACGGCAGTCGCTGCCGTCACTGCGGCGAGGAAAAACGAATGCAAAAACTCCTCCAAGCGAACCGCAACTTCTTCCACCGAGTCGCCCAAAAACACCTGCTCGTTAACCCCCTCATCCGCTTGAAGACTTCGCAGGCGTCCAACCTCTCTGGTGACACGCGCCTCCGAGATGACTGGCTCGCTTGCCAAGCACAACTCACAACATCCCCGCAGTTCGATACGCTTCAGCCATGTCACCACCTCATGCAGATCCTCTTCACTACCGCTAAAACGTTTGGCTACTGTCACCTCCTCCTCACCGGCTCTTCTCAGCAACACCAACCAGTGCATGTGTTCCCTGACACAGTCCAGGGAAACTTTCACTCTCGCCTGGATGGGCCACTCTCTCGCCACCACAGTGAGGTGGCCGTCCTCATATGCCCTTCGCAACATCTCCTTGTCTGACACCCGGATCGCGCTGCAGACGCTCAGGGAGAAGGGCAAAAAAGACTTCACGGAAGGTTCGTCTCTTGTCAACGCGATCGTCTGCCCGGACTTGCGCAGGATAAGCAGCGGTAGCTCGTCTTCCAGCGGAAAGGAATGGCGGACCTCGTCAGGCATGGCAGAAATGATACGGCCTTGGAAGCACAAAAAAGCAAAAAAAAAAAGACAAATAAGAGCACAAAAAAAAGGAGAAAAGGATTAAGTACACAGTCGCATACGCAGATGCAAAAAAGGACATTATGTATGAATGTGTGTTGCTTAGCCATATAATGCGCGTAAGTGCGTCTGTGAATCCCAACTTCCACAGGAAACAAGAGTGCTAAAAGCGGTATATGATGTGGCAAAGCATCCTCCAATGTCCGTCTTGCTGACAAATAGCCTCAGCAGAGTACCTGCAGCGTTACGCCTTTGCATGGTAGCTGCTCACACTGAAACGGTGGCACGACGATCAACGGCACGACAAGCTCCGGTTCCTCTTCTTCTATCTTCAGTTCCTCACAATGCGTTGCCCGGCACTGCCGCAGCACGGATGACCTGCACCATAGGAAGCGTAGCCGTAACTGCCAACATGAAGTCACGACATCTGTGTGCATCGATGAGTAGATATTTGGATTCGTGAGAGAAACAGAAAAGCGAGCAGAGGCACGATCAAGCAGAACCCAGTCAAATTCCTCCACCACCGTTGTTTCCGCGACAACAAGCTCTTTCCCCCATCCCGGAAGCGAATGGCAAGAGACGCCACTTTTCACGTGTTTGGCTGAGCAACACTCAAGAAACTCCAAACTACCAAGAACCTTCACTGGTTGGAAGGTGGAATTACCCTTCACTACAAATATACCGTTCAAAGAGTCTCCAATCATCACCGTCGTTGAGGTCAGCGCTACTGTCAGAGCTAATTCTCCTTCCAAACATAAAGGGAACTCCAGAGGGGTGCGTTGCCTCGCTAATTGGCTGGCCCGTGCGTGTAGTGCCCGATTAGAAAGAATGCGGGCGTCAAAGTCTTCCACTTCCGCAGGGGCCAGGGCATTTTGAAGTGGCCCCGTCAAGGCAGGTGACGGTGCCGACTGTCGAATAACGACCTTTGGTCTAAAGTCAAACCTATCCAGCGGGAACGACGCAGAAAGCAGCAGTGGAGTTAGAATCGCCTGTGCCGAGTACACTTTAATGGGGATGCATAGCTTTACGGGCGCACTCAACTCCCGTGGACCGCATCGAACACCAGACAGGTGAAGGGCGTAATAAAAGCGGATGCATTGACCCCGAAACGAGGGCGGCAAGTAATCGGGCAAAGTGAAAGTCACAACCAGCGCCCTCGACTCCCGCTCACGTAGGGGCAAATTACTTGCCAGGCAAACCGCATCCGAGCAGAAGAGTCTGTAGACATTGTAGTATTTCGATAGCTTGTCGTCAACGAGCGTTCGGCAGCGCTCAGCCGCCGCCCGCTCCCCCGCCAGCGCGTACTGGAGGCGCCTAGAATCCACAGCACAAACACCTACAATTTGGGCCATTAGCGACTTCACTCGAGCCACCGGAAGAGCATCAACATCCACGTCAGCGAAGTAGTTATCAACACGCCCAATGTGCACTGAAACCCCATTAGAAGCGCTGCCTGGTGGATTTGACAGCCCATAGAGGCAGACCTCGGAACGAACAACATCGCCCGGGGCGTACCAGCGGCGATGCAGCGAGGCACTTAGCAGCATCACACTACTCCTACTACCGCTACCACAGACACTGGCTTCGCCCTTTTGCGTGCGTGCGTGCGTGCGTGCGTGCGTGCGTGCGTGCGTACGGAAGGAAGTGGCAGCCAACAACGTGCGCGGCTACACGCTGGGCATGCACGCGGCAGTGCCCCCAGGGGGGAAGAAAACCAACAAACAAAAAAAGAAGGAAATAGAAAAAGAGAAACGCAGCAAAAGCCGTACAAAGGCAAATGTCGTAGTTTGGACCACCATGCACAAACGCATACACACACGGAGAAAGAGAGAGAGAGGGGGGACGCTTGGGTCCCC